TCAATTCTACATTTCGGACATATTATGGCAACTTGTTGGACATCCAGTTTGCTGATCGGCATATATTGACGATGGAAATATCAAATCACGGATCTCACTTTGCGAAGTTATAAATATCCTGGTATATTTTTTCTTTTTATACAGAGAACCTGATCATTGTCTCCGGACAAAATGTAATTTTTTGATTAGAAAAACGCATTCCAAGATACTGGAAATATGAGCAGAATAAAAAAATCGAAAGTATAAACTTTTGAGAGAGAAAATTTTTAACATTTATTGACTTAACCTGTAAAACGTTATTTGAATTGTTCAAAATCTCGCGAATAGTTTGTTAGAAGTCGGTCAGTGGGGGGCATTCGTCGATTAGCGCATGAATTGCATTTAAAATTAACGACCGGCCGGTTGGCGTAAATTCCAGACTTAAGAGTGTCTTTTCTACCCGCGCGTTTGTCTTTCATGTGCATTAATTTTGTAATGAATGGACTACTTTTTTCAATAAGGAACAACAATGTCAAACTCATTCACAAATATACCTATTTGTATGGGGAAAGTAACTAGAAAAAACGCTGGAAAAATTCAGCTTTCTTTTCCACCCGCGCATTAAAGTCTCTCGAGTACGAGTACATTAATTTCGTGAAAAATAATTAAAATGTTTAATGACATGAAATAGAATATTAAACTACAATCTATAAAAGCACCTGTTTACATAAGGTGCGTGATGGCATTTAGGTTGTTTTAAAAACAACTGGAAATAATAGTTCCCGATTGCAAACTGTAGTTCAATTCATATGTGCGATAGGAATCGCATATTGGTGTCTAACCGTAGCCGTTACTTGCCTAAGTTCTGACTCCTCCGACGACTCGACCGACACTAGTAGAAAAATCTAGACAGACATACCTATGTAGATAAATATTTATCTAATTCTCTCAGAGGAGATGGAAGAGGAGGGGTACAGAAAGTAAGAATACTAAAGTCACCGACTCACCGATTGTGAGTCGCAAGGTCGTTTCATAATTTTAGTGTCTCTGCGGACTATGGACTCTTTGAAAGGTGCTCCACCTAAAATCTCTTATTATAGATTGAAAGTGACGGGAAGGTAGATGAGACCAGAACCTAATCGTGCACAAACGTGGCCCCGTTAATGGAGTAAAGTTACCCGCCTACTAAACCACTTGAAGAAAAATATTCTGTCGGATCAACAGCAATTCCAATTAATAAATGCAGGACGCGAGTTCTCGTCGAATCAACTGAAAATAATGCATGTTTGCATCACCTTTTTTTTTTCTTCTTTTTTTTTTCTTTTTTTTTTTAAAATTAATAACCGTTTATTTTAAATTATTAACGGGGAGGAGCGGAACAAGCCAGGAATTCCGCCCGAAGGCCTTTTTATACATACTAAGTACAGCACTCCCGTGTATGAAACTTAACTAATAATTAAAAAGTATAGGTGTAGTGAGATCCTCAGTCTCTTGTTATCACTGACTGCTCATTTGGTTAACCTCGGCATCACTTTCTGGTTTGTCTTCGAGGGAGCGACTGCATCACCTTGCATTTTTCAAACGGTATTTCAGTTATTTCTAAGAGGCGGCTTGTTACTTTAAAGAAATTCCCGGTCTCAACAAGAATTCTCATCTGTGATTTATTAATTGGACAAATTTTCTCGAGGTAATATTTGATTGTTTGTGATCGATGGGTATCTCAGCGTGTCGATTTTTGCCGCCAACTTTTGTAGGCACATGTCTCCAGAGAGTGCCTTAGCCGTCCTCTCATTCAGTCAGTGTAATAAACATTTGAAGTACAAAAAATTCAAAATGCAGGTACAATCCTTGATCTCCCACTTTAACTGCTTTTCTGCACCCCTTCTCAGCATTTCTCTCTCTTTTCCATACCTATGCTTCGTGCATATAATCAAACAGATTCAAGTAATAACAGAATATCTGCTCTTCACGCTGCTCAATTTTTTTTATGTTTTATTCATGTTTCTTTTTTTTATGTAAAAATAACTAAACAGCATACTGCCTTTGAAATTCCCATGAATTTTCTCTACATTTTAAAGAACTCATTCACTGAGTTTCAAACTAAAATATTGCCTCGTTTTTTCTTGAAATAATGGATCAGTGAAAGAACGCTTTAGGCTGCGTGTAATGTGGTTAGGTTAGACTGGTTAAATTATTGGAATCATGATATTTTGGGTATTTACAAAGTTATGAGACATTTGATGACCTCTAAATCCGGGAGAGGCACGAATTTCCGTCATTAATGATGCATGTTTGTGATTTAACTGCAATATGATTTACATCAAAACACAAATTTATTATTTCTTCTTTGAGCCCTGACAATCATACATACTTACTTTCTCAGTGCACTTTAACATTTGTTCAATATAAATCGAGAATATTTGTGAACAGGGGAGAATCCAAAAGTAACTGGACGACCTTCGACCTGGCGCCGGTTTTACAGCTTTTGACTTCTCCTTTTGAGGGTGTCTCAATAAACTCTCGATGTGCCTTACGCCGAATTGCAATTCATGAAACCCACCCAAAAGCAATTTTGCTACGTGCAAACGCGTCGTATCGCCGGTGCATTTCTTCGCTCGGCACATTACATAACGCGTTAGGCTTTTTGCATGAATGGCACCCAAGAACACTGTTTTTTACTCAATAAAATGTTATCTGCATGATTCAAGACATCGCGTCGTCATTTTAATGTAGGAGAAAATATCGAAGTTTTTAGCTCTCTAAGTTTGCTAATCTTTCTAATTTGAGGGATAAAAGAATACCTACTGATATAGAGTGGAATTTCAAAATAGACGCAAAATTTCAGAAAAGAAGCTCAGAAAGGCGAAGTAAATCATTTAAAGTGAAGACGTGTGGTCGTTAAACGTGACATAAAAATTCTGCAATAAAAATGAAACATAAAATTTATTGTTTAAAAACACAATTTGCCGTCAAAATGATATTCAAACAAAAAATATATCTGGAAGAAGGAAAAGAGACATAATATAATTATCAGTTTGCCGAAGTTGGCAGTTAAAATATGAATGATTCACTCAAATTATAGATTAAAAGAAAAGTAATCCCTTGCTGAATTGAAATCACATTAATTAAGGGGCGTGGAGGACAAGGCGTGTAAGTGCAGTTTTTGCCATTTCGAGAAATACGTGTTCGAAGTTCCGGAATTACGAGGATCCTCATAGCGGAAAGAAAGTTCAAATTGACTTTTTGATACTTAAAAATTGAAAGTTGGGAGCGAATTTTTCATAGAATATGCATTAAGGCTAGTTTTACATGAAATCATTAATATCTCAATTTTTTCAAAAACTGCACTAATGCGCTTGGTTCTCCAAGCTCGTTAGTTGAAGGGCATTTCCTTCAAAAGCTGCTGATGCAATTAAAAGCTTACAGCCCTTTTTAGTCAGAGCTTAAGGAGCTATATGTAAATGTGTGTTTCTCGAATGGATAATTATCTGTAGTCCCCGGTATGTTTTTTGTATATGCGACTAAATTGAAGGCAAACTTCAAATTAACAATATATTCTAGTTGGTTGACACCATCATCGTCCAGTTCTATCAAAGCTCATGGAGCGATGTAAATGGACTAAATTTTCCAATTAGGAGCTGTAATTTCTGGCTTAGTTGGTTTTTCTAGGTACATAAGTGTTTTTACGGTTGTAGTTACTGATTGCAAAATTAAGTCTAAATTTATTTTGCGAAAAGATATACTCGTGCTCCCCGGTATATTTGTTGTCTATACGACGAAATTGAAGGCAAATTTCTGAGGGACTATTGCGAATAGGTCACTCATGTGCGAGATACAGGGTTCTTCAAAAGTCACGCACCACTGACCACCACTTTAATTCTAATTTTGATATCGATTTGCGGTTTCAGACGTTTTTCTTCATATCGAGGGGGAAACTTGTTTAGGTACTTTCCAGTTTTTGATCCCTTTGAGGGGAGGGGGAGGGGGGCGGGGGGCAACTCAAAAATTTCAAATGGCTACCTACCTTATGGCCAGTGGTGCGTGACTTTTGAATAACCCTGTATGTCTTTGAGCGAGATAAATGCAAGTTGTTTGAGTAGGTAACTATTCGCGCTCCGAGGGCGGTCTGTTGCCTATGCAATAAAATTGAAGGCGAACTTTACGTAATAAGAACATTACGTGACAACATCGTTCATCGATTTAATCAAAGTGTGTGGAGCAACATGATGGTACGATTCTTGAACCTATTTTAGCACCCCTGGGTATAATTGAGGACGCACCGCACGGATTGCGGAATTGCAAAAACGTTGAAAAGTTGCAGGTGCAACTAATTTATCGCTACCTTCGATTGCATGGTTACATTATGGATCAACAAAGATCATAATTCCTTTCAAAACTGTACAGTAGTCAATATAATCAGTGAGATATTCAAGAGCAGCTCCATAATTAATACCTTCAAGAAATGACGCTCTGTCTCCTGGAATTAGGTTAGGACGCCTTTGAAAATTATACGTGCCTAAGCCTAACTATTTTGGGAGGGAAATCTGGGGCTGTCTCATAGAAAGGTCGAGAGTCTAGGCACCTTGAATCATGGCTTATGTAATTTAGGGTCCTTGAAATCTTCCAGCAATGGCATTTGAAAACGTGAGGCGTGACCTTGAAATTTGGACTAATTTTATGAGAAAGGGAGAGTGAACGGTGGGTTCATAGACGGTGCCCCATTTCGAATGAACTTATTTATGCAAAAAGGAACTATGTACACACGAATCAAATCAAAAGGAAACTATGTGCATAGGCTTTTCGCACCTCGTAGTTCCTTTTAGAGCTCATTCATTTTCACATTCTTCCTTTTAGCGCATGAATGTTTTTCGCGAAGATCCGAGCCGAAAAAGAAAAGTGGAAATTGGGGCGCATGCAGAACGATGAGACGTCGATAATGATATGCAATCAACCTAGATTCTGACCATGAACCGTTTTTTAAAACGTAATGTAAATTCTAAATGAGTTCATCTTGAAGTGAGTCAGCCCATGCATAGCGCCGGTAGTTGCTTACGCTCAGCGGGCCTTTAATGAATGCCCGATCTAAACGCAATTTGACCGGACTTAAGTTTTTAGTGCCGCATCATTTCATTCAAAACGCTCGCTTTATGGTGTCCCATCGTTGAACGGAAAAAACTCCCTTAATCACGTACGTCTTTTGATACTTTGCATGTTCTGCATGTTTATTTATTTTTGATTTTTTTTTTTTAATCTAGTGCAAAATTACCCCAATTTCTAAGTTTCATTCTTAAACTCGGTTTTTGCTCGTGATATAAGTATTACTGATTCTTCGTCTTACTTCAATTTTTCGATTTTATTGTTGTATTGTCTACCGCGCGTTTTACAATAAATCTATCCATTAATTGGTGTTGTGAATATTTAGCTGACCAGTGGCAGAGGTGTCTCTTTCATGCAACGCAAACGACAAGATTGCATTTAATCCTATTGAAGTGCATTGAGTGCTTCTCATTCCTAGCGAAACAAGAGCCAAAACAGGTTTCTTGAAGTATACATATTATTCGGGGATTCCAACCTCTGGACTAACAAGAGTCATCTCCATAGCTCTGCGCGTTTTCCTTCATTCAAGCATTATTAAAGATAAGAAAAATCCAATTCAACCTGCAAATCAGGCATACTTGCACCTTTAATTATAGCCTGAGTTTTTACAAAATTGGACAAGCAAGACGCTGAGGCAGTTAGCTTTTTCAAGCTACCGCCGACGGACGCCGCGACGGTGCATTTCCCGCCACCTCCATGCGCACACAAACTTGTATAAAAAAAGTTTCAAAACCTAAAAGACCTCGCGCGTGAAAGATTATACGTTCATCAGCAGGGTAAACATACATTCCAGCGAAATCTGGAAACTCTGCTACCATTGTCAGACACTTTTTTGCGTGTAGCCGAGACACCGGTTTCAGAATTCTTGCGACGTAAGACCCTTGATTGATTCCTGGACCGATTCATTAAGACGTTCTATTCGCCCTTCTTCATCATCTCGCCGAATTGCTTTCTTCGGCCTCTGGAGCTACATCAATTTTCAAACGAAACAAAATTTTAAGGGAAAATAATCTCTGCGGGCGATATGATCAACAAAATTGGCGGGAATGCAAACCTGCGTCTCTGTAAATTAGTCCAGAACGTGATCAAGTGTTTTATGACGCAAAAACTCTGAAGCTCGTCTCTCGACCACGTAAAAAGTGTCTATCAGTGGTCTGAGAAAAAAAATCAGACGGAAAAAATTCATTTTTTCTTGCTCATGAACGTAATTGTTCGTGTGCGAAGTCGAATTTATTTAAAGCTTTTTTCATCAGTCATCGTCTTTCATCGCATGAAGGAAGCGGGAAAACGCATCGACGCGACGCACGATGGATCGAGTTAATGTCAGAGGTTGGACAAAATTTGGGAACTTTAAAAGTTTATAACTCTTTTTACACAAAACTTTGAGGTTCTACAAGGAGTTCCATTGGTTTCCTAGTGAAATTTCTTTCTAGAGGCACCCCTTGAAATTTAAAATGTGACAGAATATACACCAAAATTTGCAGTTTTAGTGGGAAATTTCATGTCTGACCTCTCTGATTGACTCGATCCATTGTGCGACGCTGCGGCGCAAAGCAGGGGAATCGACCTCAGGGGAATTGACCTGCTGAAGGCCCCGTTAGTTCGATTAAAAAAATAAATGATGAAAACACTGAGCTGAAATTAGAGCTGAAAGTATTTTAAATTAGAATTGTTATTCAGATTTTTTTTCTTTGAAAGTTTACGCGTGAGAACAAAACACACGCGCATCTTCGGATGACCCTCAAGCTTACATGATTTTTTTCCTTTGCTCCTTTTGAAGTCCGCCCACTCTCTTGCAAAGGTTGACAATTAAAAGTTAGATATTAAATTAACAAAACCTACCTGAAAACATCGTAAGTTCACAATAGCTTATGAAGGTTGAAATATATACAAAATCCTCCTAAACATTAACGTTACCTTTACCGTAATGAGCGATGAAAATGTACTCAAATAATTACCTCAAGCTTTGTATAGTGAAACTAGGATTGGCTTTTTTTTTATCAAATATTTTGCCCAAACGTATGTATACGTCCTTTTTACCTTCAGACAAATACTGAGCAAACTGCAACCAACTACAATGGAGATGTTGCATGTGTGAGGAATTTGCGATTTGACTGTTGATTCTTATGAGAAAGTTCGCGAAAAACACGATGGTGCCACTGGTTTTCTCTGAAATCAACTCCCAAGCTCAAAAAAGCTCTCAAGTTGAGACCAAAATGGAGGGGATATCTCGCACGCTATCCTGAGAGTCCACATCTACATCAAGACAAACTCTCCATGCAAAGATAGGGAGCAAATACATTGACAGGGCTGCCCATTTTATTTGAGGACTCTAAAACTGAAAACACGGCATCACTGCTAATGTATTTGCTCCCTATCTTTGCATGGAGAGTTTGCCTTGATGTAGACGTGGACTCTCAGGGTAGGGTGGGATATCCCCTCCATTTTGGCCTCAACTTGAGAGCTTTTTTTGAGCTTGGGAGTTGATTTCAGAGAAAACCAGTGGTACCATCGTGTGTCTCACGAACTTTTACATTAGAATCAACAGTCAAATCGCAAATTCCTCACACATGCAGCATCTCCATACCTGAACCCTGAGTCTTGTTTGATGGGAAATGATGACCATTGACACCTCTCATGTATTTGACTAAAAAAGTAGCAGGAAGGTTTGAATTAACGAAGACCATGGAACAAACCCGGTCGACACGACGATTAATTGACCATGCGCAAGTAATAGGAACCATTCATTCCAGCAAAAATTGAACTATCTACAACTTATTAGTGAAGTAGGACCTATTAATAACTAAGTACAAAATAAATGATTGGAAACATTCTTAAAGCCAATAAAAGTTAATGAGAAATAATTTAGTTGGCACTTGTGATGTTTTAGCATGGTACAAGTACGTACATATTTCGTTCGCCCGGAATGATACGGATAGATATACGTGTAGATAAACTACGGAGTGCGCCTTCTGGCCGCTACGCGGTCCAACTCCAGAGGGCGCGTGAGGACCCGTGAGCGGGCTCATCTGAGGGTCTATTTCCTATCGATAGTCGCAAAAATCGTGGCATTCGGGAAGGTAGATCTTTTGAAACAACTGTGGCAAAGAATGGTAGAATTCACTACACAAACACACATTTAAAAAAAATCTTGGTCATGATTCCAAAATCTGAATAGAGGGGGCTCACGGGCTCATCTTGGAACTATTACTCGTCGATAGCCGCCAAATCAGGATATTCGGCCGAATAGAACGATAGAACGAACTGTGACATAGAATGAAGATTTAGGGGACCAGAGACCTTAAGCTTACAGTAATCTTGACAACATGCTTATTTCAAAGGCTTATTTCGCATTATTTGAAATAAGCATGTTGTCAAGATTACTGTAAGCTTAAGGTCTCTGGTCCTCTACATCTTCAGTGCCAATCTGTCAGTGTCTACCTAAACTTTTATGTTTCTTTCTAAGATTAAGATGACTGAAATGCGCGAATTTAGGAACTTTGCAATAAACCAATTTTATTATTTTCCAATTAATGCAGACCGCACTTAAAAAGTATTCAAACGGAAAAGAGTTATGAATTAAGGCACGTTTCTACATGAGCTTTTATCAGTATTTTAGGTAGAATTGTTTTAAGGGAGGAGGGGGATCAATCAATGACTAAAAGTTTCTTATGAGATACAAAAGGTGAACAATGCTTGAAAATAATGAAAACGACTTGATCGAGGGGAGAGGCAGAAATTCTAACATGCAGCAACCTCCCCCCCCCCCCCATACCGGACAGTCTCTTGTCTCAATCCTAAAGACCGATAAGGGTTTTTAGGGTTCCATTACAAAACTTCATATATTTGTTAGATTGCCATTCCCTTCGATATAATATTCTGAATCAGCTCTAAGAAATTTCAATGTAGTAACAAATCATCCGTATATCCGAAAAATCCAAGGTGGTTCTTCCACAATGCGTTACTGATATATCTGCAAAATCCAAAGGATCGTGAAAAGTTCCCTCTAAACTTTAGAAGCTGCTCCATTTTAAACAGCAAGATCAAAGTAGCACCGTAGCTAGTAGATGCATCAAGTAGATTACCTGATAACAAGTTTACTTAAGAGCCATGCTTCTGACTGCACTGTTAAAAGACGAAGCGTGGAATTAGGTGATTGAGTCTATAGGGCGCCCAAAAACCCCGAATGATCTGAATGCGAGGTGAAATCAGCATCATAGCGTATGACACGCCGCAAAAATAGTAGATTCCGCTTCGTAGTGGAGTAAGTCACTCCGTGTGGAGAATAGGGTTTGCTCCAGTCCTTATTCATGTAACTCGGGGTTTCTGTTCGCTATATAGCCTCCGGCACAGAATTTCACTCCAAACATTTTTACAGTGTGACACTTGTAAGTTGAAAATTGTCTTATCCTACGGGATTTTATAAACTTAATATTTGTTGTTTGCTTTCAGAATGGCGACCGTTGTGGAGCCTATTTTGAGCCCGTCGTCGCTTCTATCGGTAACGAATGCGTTTTTCTACCTGTTGGTCCCCACGGTCGTCCTATATTATGTTTACTACAGGATGGGCCGAAAACGGCTCTACGAGCTGGCGGCTAAAATACCTGGACCCGATGGATACCCACTTCTCGGCAACGCCCATGAGTTTGTAGGCAGCTCTAACAGTGAGTTTTGTTTTTCTTCCTTTTTTCAGCAGACGCTCGCACTGCTTAAGTGGAATGCACTCAGCAGATGGGATTCGAGTTTCTAGAAAGTTCAGCTTCTTATACAGTGCGATTCAAAAGTCCCGAATCAACCCGATAACTTGCTAATGGAGCTATCGATTTGAGGTCAAAAGCAACTACTCTTTGGCCACACCAAATTATGGGGGACCCATGAACGGATTCAGGGGGTCGTAGAGGGCGGACGCTCCCCCCCCCCTTTCGCCCGAAAAAAAGGAAGAAGAAAAAGGGAAGAAAAGAGGAAGGAACGGAGGATAGAAGAAGTAAAGATGCTTATAATCGCTCCATATGAGGACTTATCTGTAACAATAGTGGATGTGAAAAATTACCTTTTCGAAACACACACAAAAAACTGTCTCGGCATCGAGAAAATTTTGAGAAAATACTTGAGATGTGATCTTCGAGATCTGTACATTATGCCAGAGCCAAACATATTAAATTTGTGTGTGAACAAAACAGTTTTTTAAGCGTGTATCTAAAAGGTAATTTTTCACATCCACCATTGTTACATATAAGGCCTCATATTTGTATCTTATAAGATGGGTTGCAGTCTGAAATTAGAGATTAAAGTCATATCCCCGGCCCTTGCAAAATGTGTTGAGTTCATTAAGAAAGTTCCCTTTGGCGTGGAAACACCCTCAACTTTCAAATTGATAGCTAGATTGTAGCGAAAAATTTAACGGGATGCTGCGGGACTTCGGAATCATACAGTAGTTGGTCGGCAGAATGCCTCACCTGTGCCGTTCATATTATACGTAACGCTAAATTTCAGATTTTTGGACCCCCTTCCTCTCACCCTCAACACTTTTTTGTCGTCCCTCTGACGTAAGGGCGTATCTTGATGGATCCGTTTTTTCCTTTAACACGTAATTAATAAATGCCGAAACGCTCGTTTCAACACCCCATCCCCCCATAGAGCGTTATGTATTTTATGAACGACTCCTGGCAATATGTGTTCACTTTCCGGTTGAATCTTAGTGAATAATGTAGCAAAATTTAGTTCTCAGGAAACAACCAAGTTCGCCTGGTAGAGAGCTATATTATAATTTATTAAGATGGTGCATTTCTCTGAAAATTATCAATGTCGCGATAAAATTGATAATAGGCCAACTCATTATCGGCACAATAAAGGACGCTGATACGAATCTACCGTAAAAGAGAAAAACAAGGAAAGCTTCCTCAGTCAGTGTCAGATTCGACGAATACAAAAGAAAACTCCTGGATGCAACTATTCGGGCTCCATGGATGTCGGTGTTGCATACGCACGAAAGTGAAGGCGTTTTGACTGTGTCCAAGTGTTCAGGCACTTACCACTTCACCCGCGCCGCCGCCGTGCCGCGCCCGACCGTAGGCTTTGCTGCGAGGATCCATAATATCGTCGCTCCTCTGACGTAAGGGCGTATCTCAATTTCCACGTGAGCCCTGTTTTACATAAAAGCCCATGCTTTCTGGGGCTCATACAAAAATCAAGATACGCCCTTACGTCAGAGGGACGACGATACGGCAGAGCGCTTTCAATTATTCGATTATACTAGACAGATTGCATACAGGCATAAGATGTGAGTTTATTTTGTGCTTCAGTTTTGATATTACGATGTGCTGAGCATGATTTGTAGAGCAATTATTCATGCCTACGAGATGTATCTGAAGCATAAATGAAGAATTAAAGGCACTCTGTTACTTTTGATTCTTGCAGTATGACATGCCGCACAAGGAATCGAGCCTCTTAGAGAGATTGAACATGAAATTTTGAACTAAAATTGCAAATTTTGATGTCAATTTCTTCATCTTATAAATTGTATGGAGTGCCTCTTGAAGGAAATTTTACGAGAAAATCGATGAAACCACTTTTAAAAAGTTCCGTATTAGCATCGATATGAGCTTTTAATGTTTTCACAGTCTCTTCGACTCCTCCTTTTGACTCGCTTCACTAAACGCCGCTGGTAAAGCGGTGAATGTCTGAAGGCAAAACGCCTTCACTTGCGTGGGTATGCAACACGGACATCTATGGAGCCTTAATAGTTGCATCCAGGAGTTAGAATGAAATTGATATGGTGTTTGTCGCATTCGACACTGGCTAAAGAGGGCTTTGCTTGTTTCTCTCATATGTCATTTTAAATTTAGCGTTGCATATCATGCCGATGAAGTAAACTACACTGATTCTGAGCACGACATTGTCGAATTTTCCGGGGAATGTATTATTTACATATATGTACAATGTTGCCGGGCCTCGAAACTGCAAAAAATTAGGTATTTAAGCATCATATGTAGAGTTTACTTCGACCTACTTATGTAAGTCGTCCTTCGTTTGTATTTTTTTTTTTAATTTTTCCTCTTTTAGGGATACTAATTTTGACGTCTAAGTGTGAAAAATGCAAATAGCAATCCTGATGAATCGCACAGAATTTGTACTAAAAACAATGACCATTCGTCTTTCGGCAATATGTAATGCGACAGGACATTTGTAACATTGAAAGTCACCCTGGTAAAAATTGGCGATAGGAGTTGCGTTTCAAAATACCATAGGAGTTCTTATAGCGAACTGAAGAAGGCGATAGAAAATCATATAGGTGGCTATAGAAAGTGGAAAAAATAATACGGCCGGGCTACACGAAGCGATAAAAAAGTATACAGCCGGGCTACACGAAGCGATAAAAAAGTATACAGCCGGGCTATAGCTCCTATCGCCGGGCTTTATTCTTTATCGCCTGGCTGTTGCTTTTTCGCCATCGGCTATAAAAGGCTATGAGAAATTGTGTAGAAATCCGTGTGCTTTGTAAATCCTTAAGTTTGTACAGAATCACCTTAATATTTACAAAACGCACATTATTTTTTTCATCAATTAAAATGAGAATAATCCATACAGAGTGTGCAAACATTTCAAAGTCATGAGTTGAAAAACGCTGACTCCACGAAATTAAATATTAGAGCCTAACACAACACTGGCGCCTACAAACCTAACAGGGATACATCACGCATTGCGCATTGCGCAATGCGTGGTTTGTAGGTGCCAATGCGTGTTTTGCGCTGGCTGCCCGCCCGCTGCGCCGCGCCGCAGCGTACAACGGCGCTTGAAGCAACTATTTCACACCAGAGGTATTGCACAGTATCTTACGAAATTGTATCTTAGCGCTCCAACATGTTAGGAATGGCAGGCATCCTTCAAAAGTACGGAGCTTCCCTCGCAAAATAAATCAAGATTCTACTGCCCAAAAAGAGAGCGGTAGTCCAAAAACTCACTAAGTCCTAGCATCTGTAATTAGTAACGTTTAGCATAAACTTTATCGTCTGGCTGTTGCTTAATCGCCATCGGCTATAAAAGGCATAAGAAATTGTGTAGCCGGCTACAGAAGCTATTGGAAATCTTACAGCCGGCTGTGGGTCTATGGTATTTTGGAACACAGATTCTACTGCCAATTTTTACCAGAGCACCGGCGTGGTTCCGCATTCACGTGTCTCGGTTTGCGACGTTGCAGACTTCCTGTCATATTTTGTTTTTTAAATGGAAAACTACCCAACGGCAATTCTTTAAAACTGTCGTGATTTTTCTCCTGTGTGCGGGAAAATTCTGCGAAAACTTCAAGGAATGATGTCAATTTTTTCCTTTTAAAAATAAGATGGGAGCGGAGATTTTCAAACACCGCAAACGAAATACTATACGTGGTTGCGGACTTATACTGTCAACGTATATACGTGTATTCTTGCGTCGGATCGGGTGGAACGTTTGAATCCGTATTCTCGTATATAGCGAAGAGAGCCGAAAGTTCGAGCATCAAGTTTTGAGAGAATGGACTCAGTAGCTGAGGAACGGGAAATTTTATTGAAAGAAGCCTGTATTGCTGTATTGTTTCCCTTTTTTTTCAAGATACAGTATGAAATATTTTAAGAGGGCTTATTTTGTCTCTTTCAGCGATATTTGAGAAAATGTACGAAAGGAGCTTCGAGTTTACTCCATCGTCTCCTGTCAAAGTCTGGATTGGTCCTCGGCTTTTGGTATTTCTAACAGACCCGCGAGACATTGAGGTAGGTTCACTTAAGTTTTTCAAAGTTTCTTTCACATTTTACTTAGGGTGATTCGATAACCGCCATATTTGGTATCAGAACGACATGGGATGCAAGGCATCGATTAGCTCCATGTTTTCTACCTGCACTCGAATGAGATATTTTTTCTCCAAAAGAACCCGGCCTTTATTATGCTGAATTTGTTCGTCTTTGGTAAGTGAATTCTTAAGTCTCGTCATAACAGAAATGTAATCTCAAAATTCGATAAAAATGCGACAAGTAGCTAGAAGTATGGAACTAAATAATATGTATCGCATGTCGTTCTAACACAAAAAATGGCGGTCATCGAATCACCTTACATTTTAAATTTATTATCATCTACTGTAGAGGAAATTTCCAGGAAATAATCATAATCAACGTTAGATTAACTTAGAGTCCAACAAGTCGAGGGGGAGGGGGAATACCACAAAAAATACATTTTTACATATACTTTGGAGAAAACTATTATTTTTCTCTCTGGAAACACATCCCATTTCTTGAGTCATATTTTGATACTTTGTATCTTTTTTACTAAAGGGATAGCCTCAAGAATAAGTATCATTATTCATTACTATAGTTAGTGATAAAAACCATCGATATGATCATTAAATTCTGTAAAAGATCTCCTTTTGGCTGGGGATGCAATAGGTGGGATTGAAAAACTATTATATCTTTTTCAAGTTATAGGATCATTTCTCAATATACCCATGTCCTTCCCCCTCCCTTAACCTCTCCAAGGGGATATTATTTTTTAATTCACTCTTACTCAATTTACTTACTCAATTACTTTTTCAGATAATTTTGAGCAGTAATGTTTACATTGACAAAGCTCCTGAATATAGGTTCTTCGAGCCTTGGCTAGGTAACGGTCTACTTATCAGCACAGGTGAGTGTAAAAAAAACTTCGTGAAGTAGAATATTTGTATTTTAGCATACCATTCAGGAGCCAGAAGAACTACGAGACAGACTTTCGATAGCATTTTTTGGGTTAGGTCGGGGGCAATTTCGGCTCAGACGGCGAATTTTGTGCCAGGCTAGTCCCCGCCAAATAAGTTCACGCACTGTCAAATTGTCAGAAGATCATCTGACGTCATTTTTGCATGGATTGTATGTAGGAATTAAGGTGGTGGATCTCCTGTCGCAGTCTATGAGTCCGGAACTTCAGTTGACGTAGACTCTACGATGACTACGCTATGTTTAAATATTTAGTGACTGTCATGTCATCTAATTGAGAAGGTAGTGAAGGTATAATTATGGCAAAATAGTTCATCATCGAGGTAGATTCAAGAGACTTGTGCAAAGATTTCTATATGAAATACAAGTATACAGAAATGGAAGTTTAGTATAGTTTTTAATCCCTAAAATTTCAATATTACCAGATTTCTTTAAAAATCTCAAAGCTCTCTCTCTCACAATTTCAAATACACATGCATGCAAATATCGGTGATGCACCTAATTTTTCACGATTAATAGAAAAGAGATTAAGCTAAGATGATCAAAAAAATTTAGAAAGCTAGAAAAATAAATTTCGTGGAGAATTTTCTAAATGCACAAAGTCACTTCTACAACGTACCCTAGCGTTCTGCGACACCCGATCACCACATGTGCCTATCCTATCTGACATTCTTATTCCCTTTGAAAAACACTTTTCCTTGAGGAATCTATGAATGAGGATCATCAAATAATCGTATAATTTCTTACTCAAAACTACCTTTTCATTTCAGCTACGGCCGTCTCATGAAAGAAGAAACCGCAGTCTCTATTTTATCATTAAGATTGAAGTTGGTATACATGCATGTTTGTTTCATAGGATTTTTTGAGCCAACTCAAATTCTCCTGTGTGCATTATAAATCTTACACAATTTCTCTGTTACACCTCAAAAAGAGATCATCTTTAAAATCACAAAACTAGGGCTCAGGTTTGATTTTGAAAGGTGCTTATCGAATATATTTTGCTTACTCCATCCTTTTCTTAACTTTGCAGGTGAAAAATGGCGAGCACACAGGAAACTGATTGCACCAACTTTCCATCTGAATGTATTGAAATCTTTCATTGATCTCTTCAACAAGAACAGTCTGTTGACTGTTGATAAAATGAGGAAAGAAGGCAATAAGGCATTTGACGTCCACCATTACATGAGTGAATGTACCGTAGAAATTTTGTTAGGTAAGTTTAAACTACAGTTAAGCAACAAAGCATTCATTCACCCATAAAAAAATGTTTGTCAAAATTGCATATACCGATGACTAAAATCAGAAAATGCATATCTTCGTTTGGGCAACTCTACGATCATGTATTGTTGAGAGATCTCTCTGCATTATCTGTGATTAAATTGGAGCACGAGTGGACCTTTGCAACCTTGCAATTGCAGATATGCGGATTTTCATCATTACACAATAATATGCTGACAAATAGTTTTGTAAGAATCGATCATTTCCGAAATTGTGTTCATTTTCTTACTGTAAAGATGTAAAATTGTCCTATTTTAAATTTAGATTTCTTCATTTATTCCATTTTTCTGGTAATGCTTTTTAACTATCTTTCCTGTGAGTAAAAATGCAGTTTCTATTATTTGAAAGTTCATAAATGAATTAAGCGTTAGAGTTCCAAATAGCATTTACAAAACTTATGTTGCCATCGTTTCCATCTGTTTGCAGAAACCGCAATGGGTGTTGACAAAAAAACGCAGCAGGCCAGTGGTTTTGAATACGCCGCAGCTGTCATGAAGTAAGTATGATGAGGGACTATGTTTTTTCAATTTTTATCATTAAACCTCATTTTTCAAATTAATGGAAAAAATGAAAAGAAATAATGGAATAGTGAATCTCGTCGCAGAAATCTACCGATATACTTCAGCATTTTTCAGCTAAAATTATACGTCATTTCTTGTGTAAAATCGCTTAAACATCACGATGAGGTGTGCACTGCCCAAATTGAAAAATCACCTGATTTAAAAAACCTCTCGTCTTAGATAGCATTTGCAAAAAAACTTAAGATGATATGGACGATTCAGATAACATCGAGCGCTGAACAGAACACAAAATTATCCGGCATTTAGACGTATTTCTGCCAAACGGAACTATGTGCATTGAGACAAGAGCCCTAAGACCCATTAGAATATATGCATAACAGGGCTCACATCATAGAGCACATAGTTCCGTTTGGCAGAAATACGTTCATTTAATGTTATTCGCAAGCCCATTTGGCTCTAATCTTTTCATTTACGCTATTATTAAAGCGGACCCGATTGACACGCCATTCTAGGCAAATATCGATTGCCAAAAAATTCCATGCTACGCCAAAACCCTTTGCTTTGCTCCTAGAAAATAAATTACCACGCCAGTTATACCACGAATGTCCACGTTATCGCATAGCAAACCCTGTCAAGCATGCATAAACATCTCAGTGGCGCGGCATGCTTTGCGATATATTGATTAATCTGCCATTTAAACCCACGGAAAAGGATCGATAAACAGGGTGTCCGCAACGAGCACCTTGATAATCGATTCTTTACCATGGCTTCAAATGGGGATATATCGATAATCGATCATTCACGCCTCGGCACTGAGACATCTGCTCGGTGGCGAATCCCGTTTGATGGAAATATTTACAGGCGTGGTTGATTGCCTCGGCAAACGTTATGATTATGAACAGTTGATTTTTGTGTGCACATGCCTTAATTTCACCGAAACAGGTTTTTGTGATTCGCTAAAAATGTATCTATTTGTTCTGGAAACTTGGAGCTGATAATTCACGCACCCGCGTTCTTATGTAACATCCTGCCGTTTGATCGCCAAACTATGAAAAGTTGTAATAATTTAGCATCAGCCATTTACTTCCGTTCCCTCCTCTTGCTGCTGTCCGCGGGGTGATTATTAAAAGCTCAAAGCTGCACGACATCGCATTGCGGTATATTGCACGGCTGAGATATAGGGCTATGTCTTTTTTTGCCGTGACAACATGCCTAGTTTCAAATATCGGGCGGCTGGGGGGTAAAGAACGGATTTTAGACCGCCCTACGACATTTCTTACATTCTTAATTTCATTTCTTCTCAACTTAAATTCATCTCTCTTGGTGGTATTAACTGAAATTATGGTTGTTCATTCTAGGATGTGTGATATTCTCCATTTGCGACACACGAAGGTTTGGTTGCGACCAGATTTCCTCTTCAATATGACCAACTATGCTAAGGACCAAGTCAAATTACTTGACTTCATCCACGGATTAACGATCAACGTAAGCTGAACACGTCTATGGTGAAGGATTTGTTTAGGCTTTTGTCACATTTTACGAAAAAACATTAAGGACACAAACTGTGATTTTCAACAGTCATCAAACACGCATGCTTTGGCTGTTACATTACTGCTAAAAATGGCAGAACTGAGTGGTTTTGTGGAAAAAGGGCGTATCCAGCAAAATTTTAAAACAATTTTATTCCTTCCCCGATTGATCCAGCCCTGCCAGTGTGACTGTGGTCAGATGATATCTAGAAGAGTGGTTAATTTCTCTCAACAGAAATGTAAAAACTTATTGGAGAAAGATCAAGTCTTTTCATGTTTTCTCGAAACTTGAATTTAAGAAGTAACGCCTTTCTTCATATAACACATTCAAATAGTCTCCCAAAATGTTTGAGTTCCGTGTGTTAAATATTATCGCTTTAATTTTAAATTAAATTTTGTTTGCAGGTCATGAAGAAAAAGAAGGATGCTTATTTGAAAAACAAACAAGCAACAATAGATAACACAAACGTCTTCAACACGACCGTATTTGATGATCTCCGAAAGGCGCGGTTTGACAGTGAGAAAAAGACTGAAACGAAACCGAAACAGAAAGAGGTCACGGAGGTTGTCAAAGGTTCCTCATTTGGGCAATCTGCTGGACTGAAAGATGATCTGGACGTGGAAGACGACGTTGGTAGGCAAAATCTCATTCTTACTTTTACAAAAACCTGAACATCATATATTCCATCAAATAATACACCTTAGCCAAAAAATTGATCAACCTGAAACGAGATTACAATCTGAAGGTTCGCCTTGAAAGATGCCGCAGCTAATATCTTAATAGTTTCTTCCAAAAATGTGTTGTGCGCAATTTTATAGCAATTTTAATTTAAACCCACACATTTCAACGTTTTAAACCTGCAAAATTGAGGTTTAGGAGGAACATTCAATTCTTCGAGAAATTAATGGTGCATGCTAGAGATAAATCAAGGTCATTTCCGGATTCAGCAACCAGAAATGCTGGAGATGACATGTATCACGTCTTGTCACAACAATACCTACGCCTAAAAAGGGCTTCAAAGGAAAAATTAATTTTTGAGTAATTTATGGGTGATAAAAAACAGGAAGGCCATTTTCAGCTTCAACAACGAAAGAGCGGAAGTGGTCCAATATTTGACTCCTGAGTAAAATAATGTTCTCGTCCTCTGAGATTCGAAACAAACGAACCAGTTTTGCATGGAGGAAGTGGGCGAAGCATGTACCATTTGACCGGAAAAATCTCGTAATTAGACACAGCTGGAAATATGTTTAAGTAAGCGATACATGTTCTCTTATATTTTTTGGCCGCTAAATCTAAAAATTATCTTAATTTGTATCTGTTATGCACCACATTCCCGAAAAATCGGCGGGTTTAGGAAAAAAACCAAAATCATTTTCGGGATTAGCGTTAAAAAGTATAAATTTGAGAGTCAATCATAACATCCCCAGTGTTTTGAAAATAAAATCTCATTACAGAATACAGACCTATATTATAAGGTAGATAGTGCGGTAAATTCTAACACACGAACGAATCGTTTCAGGTGAAAAGAAGCGTCAAGCTTTCTTGGATTTGCTGATTGAGAGCGCAGAAAACGGAGTCGTCTTAACCGATGAAGAAGTCCGAGAACAAGTTGATACCATCATGTTTGAGGTGAGATTTATTTTTTCACTGCAGATAATTCTATTCTTCTTCCCATATTGAAACGAGTAAATGAGATAAACCTGCTTATTTCATTTCTAAGAAGACTGAGACCCATCCTCTCGAATATTTAAATAACCGAAGATCAGTGAATAATAAGTGGCTCGTAAAGGAGTCATGCTGAGCCCATAAGATCGCAGGAGGTGTTCTTGCTTACATTTTAGGGGCAAGTTTCTGTTGTCGCAAAGATGAAAGTTTTACTTGTGAGTAGATTGCGAAAAATACTCATCAAGGATAATTATTAATGGTCACGTTACAAGTAATGTTCCCTGCAATTCGAGTGGCTCAGTGCATTTCCCAATATAAACGACAATCAACAACTGGGCTGGCCGCTGGATCTGAATTATTAGGAATAGGGCTCATTTTTTGGAGTTGAAACACGACGATTAATTGGACTGCATTTTGCAATTTGGAACCATAAATTCAGGCTCATATGAAAAAAGACTTATGTGCATAGGGAAACTATTGGCACATACGTTGTTTTTAAACCGAACCAGTATTTATAGTTCCAAATTGCAAAATGCAGTCCAATTGTAAATTAGTTTAACACTATCGAATAAATGTATTTGAAAAAAATCTCAACCCAAAGTCGTAATTGAAATGGTACAGTACGTTCTCAAAAAGTAAATTCATCAGTTGTCAGTAAGTTCATCTGTAAGTTCCCAAAAAGTTACATGGGTTTTAAGTAGAGGAAAATAAGTCATGCGGCTGAGGTCGAAGTGAAAATTGCATTCTTTTCATCATAAAATATTCATTGGGGATTTTTAAACTAAAAATTCATATACTTGAAATTCCGAGGGGAGAGGATCCCACAGTGAGGTCCGTGGAGGGTCTCTATTTGTCGCTGGTAAAAACTTACCAAATTAGGTAAATTCATGACTCTATTTTGATGAACATTTCAGGGTCACGATACGACGGCAGCCGGGAGCAGTTTCTTCCTTTGCGTGATGGGAGTGCGACCAGATATCCAGGCAAGTTTTCGATTCTCTAACCCGATGCTTAAGTGATATTTCCTCATTACTACATCTATTTAAACGAGTACGTGATAGGCCGCTGAATTATATTCTCTGGGTAACAAATTAAAATGATTCGTCACGGTTTCTGGTTTGATTCAACTAGCGCTCGATATATCGTCACCTTCCAGGCAAAGTATCACAAGCGCCATGCGACGTTTAAAAATTTCCGCCGCCATTTTATTTTTTTACAGGGAAATCGTTCGACGAAGCTGTCCGAAAATTTCACTGAATTTTCTTTGTGCTGCCGATAAAATATAGTGAAATTTCCAAACAGATTCAACCAACAATTTCTCAGTAAAAAAATAAAATGGCGGCGGAAATTTTTAAACGTCGCATGGCGCTTGTGATACTTTGCCCGGAAGGTGACGATATCGCATTCCAGCTGGACCGCGTAGAAACCTTGACAAATCACCTTAAAAATATGTTTGAATCCGAGGTGCCACTCAATGGCTTTTGATCTTAGGTCATATTTTTACGAAGATCCAAGTTTAAGAGTAACAAAATTGAGACTTTGCAGGTAAAAAATGCTTTCTGATATACTTATAAACTATGCATCGAAGTGTCTGTTTTTTTAGTCTACCACTTTAATAAGAGAGAACATTCGATGTTCTACTCTAAAATCATCTGGAAAATTTCTCGTTCTTATAAGTTACGATAGCCCTCTAGCTGTTGCGTCAACGGCAAGATAAGCAAGGTTCCTCATTTCTCCTGAAATGAGCATGGATACCTTTTGAGGAAAAGTAGTTGCATCCAGGCGTTACGTTAACGTCATATCACGTGCATTGCCATAAACTGATGGTGTATTGTTCTCTTCCAAGCTGCGAAGCAACATATTTTCGACAAACTTCATAATTCGGAAGCACAATTTTTACCCAAGTATCTATATATTTTCCCCTCCCTTGACCGTAGCAATAATATCTTTTTACTTATTTTTTATTTTCTTTATTTTTGTGTTTTTATTTTTGTGGAGACGAAGTCACTGCATTTTTAAAGTCCGGTCCTGTAATGCAATTCGTCCTTAAATCAAGACTTCTGCTAGATTTCAATTCGCCATTTGCGATAAAATGAGGTTCTTTTTCAGACCTCAACATAGCAGAAACCTCACAAAATTCTGCGGATAATAGTTCCAGACCCCTTTTTTTCATCAGATTTAGTAGAAAATCGCTACACACCGAGGAAAAAAAACACAGTTATTCTACCGTTACAAAGGTAGTAATGTCACCCGGGATTCCACGGTAATAAAACCGTGGGTTTTGATTCTTGTAACGATGAGCACGGTGATATGACCATGTTCACCGTAATATTACTGTGGACACAGACATACTATTATGAGCATGGTTATGCTACTGTGCTCATATCAATAATATTACCAAAATCCACGGTTCCACTACCGTGGAATCCCGCGTGACATTATTACCGTGGTAACCGTCGAATAACCACGTTTTTTTTTTTGTCCATGATATTTACAGAGTAGATTAATGCTGTGAAGTAATTACGTTAAACTGTTGTCGTCAGTGGAAACGCCTTCAGTTCCACGCGATACCTCACCGCCCACACCAGGGTTGAAATATTTGCATCATAAAATGGACTGCATTTTGCAATTTGGAACTACAAATTCTGGCCTGGTTTGAAAATAACGTATGTTCCATTAGTTTCCCTGTGCACATAAGTGTTTTTTCAGATGAGCCAGAATTTATAGTTCCAAATTGCAAAATGCAGTCCAAATTGCGGTGCAGAATCCTCCACTTTTCGTGGAAAATATTGTATCGGGTTTAGTCGGAAAAACCTTTATGGGAAATATTAGCATTCTTTTATGTCTCACTTACATAACTAACACGTTTTTTCTGTTATTTTTGCCAGGAGAAAGTAGTGGAGGAACTGGAACAAATATTTGGTGATTCGGATAGACCGTGCACATTCCAAGATACACTAGAAATGAAATACTTGGAAAGGTGTATCATGGAGACTTTAAGGATGTACCCACCAGTGCCCATCATTGCCAGGGAGCTACAAGAAGAGGTCAAGCTAAGTAAGTGTATGACATGAAAAAATAATCATTGCATCCGTTAAAAAAAAAAAAAAAAAAAAAAAAAAAAAAAAAAAAAAAAAAAAATCTAACTCTAAAAAAACGACCAAGGTTCATTTAGATTCTGCTCTCCCTCTTCTAATGAGTGTTCTTAATGCACAAGTTTTTTTTTGTAAATTAACAATGTCGTATAGGTATAAATCGTCGCAATTTTTATCACCGGCTTTTCTTTCTTTCTTTTTTCAAAGATATGTTCTCTTAGTTTTGGAAATTTTTGGAAATTTAGAGCACTGAAGGAAATCAAAAAGCAGCGATAAAATTTCTCAAGAGAATGTGCATATGTTGAATTTCATTAATTTACTAAAATGATCTTCAGCTCTCTTCATAATTATAGGACACATCTGAAGTGCTTAGTTTGATGGCCTTATTGCTACATAAATATGAATGATAAAAAAAAAAAACCTGGTTTAAAAATGACATGTAATGTAATTCTTTTTTGGAGAAAACCGGTGAAGAGTTGCAGAGGGTTATTTATGCTGAGAGCTTTTTAATTTTTATACAATTTTACAATCTTTCCCCCAATAGGGTTAATTTCAACTCTTCGAAGAAATCTGACAACTCAAAAAATAATTAAAGGTATTTGAGTGAATAATGACTCGAGAAGGGGGGGAGAGGCTGATCAAGAAATATATACTTATGACGGAATGCGCTTTTCGTGGAAATCAAAAATAGTAAAAACGATTACCGTACTTACTGATTTTTTTTATTGAAGTATTATTATCGTATCCACCAGTTTCAAGGTGCCATAACTAGATGAAAATATTTTTAAAATCAGAGGCTCATTTGACAGGGATCGCAATGATTTATTGCCAAACCTAACGAGACACCACCCACTCAAGGCATACCAAGGTTGACTGATATATTTAACCATTAACTGCAACAAAATTGTAACAGCCGCGCAAAGACGTTGCAGTAAACCACAACTGTATCATCACGACATATTATCTCCGAAAATAGAATTTGCAAAGATATTTAAACGCTCAAAAAAGTGAGAGAGTTTAAATTCATAGAGTTTTTTTTTTTTTTTTTTTTTTTTTTTTTTTTTTTTCAAAAAACGCACTGCCATGACGAGTCAGTTAAATTTTTCTTCTCACTCGGAGACTCCTAATTAAATTCAAATTGAAAATTTCAGAGTCTGCTGATTTAACTGTCCCCGCGAAGTGCACCGTCATCATTGGAACAGTGAAGCTGCATAGAAATCCAAATATCTATCCCAACCCCGAGGTGTTCAACCCCGACAACTTCTTGCCAGAGAAAACTTCCAACAGGCATTACTATGCATTTGTGCCGTTCAGCGCTGGACCCAGAAGTTGTGTCGGTGAGTAAAATAAGAGATTCTTAACGCAATTAGTATGATAAGACTGCAATGAAAGCCATTGCGCCTTCATCCATATCGGATATACAACATAAGCAGCCGTCAAGTAGTTCGTCGCTTGGCTGACAAAAGGGCGTAACTACAATTTGAGATGAGTCCGAGCAAGCACTGAGTTATATGGACAACAGGGCTCATCGTCGATGGAGAATCCCTCTTTAAGCGCCCAGCTGATAGGGTGCGCTTTTTTATTTCGACTTGCCTGTAGACTTCTGGTTTACTAGTGGCAATGCGTTCGAATGTCGCACCGGCTCAAAAACCAGATGGCGGATAGGGACTTCACAGTTCACATATTTAGAATAGATTTATCTGTTATACCTTTATTTAATGATTCTACATTCAAAGAGCGAAGGATGATTTTTCTATAATTTATTCTTTTTAACGGTAGTGTACTTTTCTCAAAATTGATTGTTGACATTTTGGTGAGGCGAGTTTTTTCACTCAACGTTGCGCATCTTCTTCGGGGAACTAAAAACGCGCCTACGTAGTAAACAGCTGAACACTTTGCTAATACGACCGTATTAGAACTTTCCCTCTTGTTTTATTTTCTAAGAGAAATTGAGCGATTTTATGCATGAGCACTCTCTTTAATTTACCTCTCATCAACATTTATTCCCTGGACAGTTTTTGGATGAAAGTGTCGTGTCTTTCAATGTTGGTGGTGTATTCTTCGTAAAGTTGATAAGCTTATATTATTACTGAGGAACTTCAAATAATGCATACACGCATCGCCCGAAAGTAATATTAAAATTTACAATATTTCAGGTCGGAAGTACGCTATGCTGAAGCTGAAAATTTTACTTTCTACAATCTTAAGAAACTACAAGGTCACCAGCGACGTGAAAGAAAAAGACTGGAAGCTTCAAGCCGATATCATCCTTAAGAGAACTGACGGTTTCATGATTCGTTTAGAACCCAGGAAAATGAAACCAAAGCCGACAGTTGTAAAGGCTCTTTAAGTTTAAGATCCACCTTTGAATCATATAGGAATGAAAAAATAAAAAATATTTGTGAAAAATTAAAACATTGAGAAAATGATTTTAGAAAAGTCAAACTCCTCATGAAAACTCTTTAAATCATAAATACAAATATGTTCACAGTTGCACGTAAGTATTTTCACAGTTAAGTAAAATTTACCATGATCTTGGCATTCAGGTACTTCTTGTAATTTAACATTGAATTTGGTGTCGTTGATGCCGGGGAATTATAAGATTTTTAGTCCGTTTAGAAAAATGTGAAAAGCTAACATTATTTAATTTTTACGAAATTATCCACGCAATGTGATATTTTAGACCAGTTGGGGATATTTTTTATGACGTAGATAATATGCACCGCACTTATTTGTGTTTTCACTAGAAGAATTTTAAAAAAATTAAAAAGAATCAGAAACAATGAAAACAGCAATCTGCCAACTTAGTCGACTTAGGATTGGCAGCAACATTGTTTGTTGATTATTTTTATTTGTAATATAGTGCCCACTCCAGCGCAGAAAACACGCTTATCATCACATATTTTCGGGCTTTTAAAATTGGTCAAAGTCTCGCCAAAAGTCGTGAGCGATAGGTCGGAAGCGTACAGGAGATACAGAGAATGAATGGGCCAGTGGCGTGGCGTACTTTGCGATAGATCGATTGATCTGCCATTTAAACCTATGGAAAAGGATCGATAAACAGGGTGTTTGTAACAAATCCCTTACTAATCGATTCTTTACCATAGCTTCAAATGGGAAAATATCGATACTCATTCACGCCTCGCCACTAGATTAGGCAATTTATAGTTAAGTCGCAAGAAAATCACGTTGAGCTCATCGAAAATGTATAAAATACACTCTAAAACAAAAAAATTGGCGTCAACTGCATCGCGCATTTCCAACTTTATCACGATATTTTTTCTTAGTGGCCAACCAGGTTTGCTCAGAAACCAATACAAAAACCAAGCAACCAAACGTTAATAAATGAACAATCTCGCTTTTCCCATTATTTCTCACCTGCGATTTCAATCGTTTTAACGCATGTCTCTCTAAGAGAGTAACTTTCTGATGAAGTATCTAATTACTGGTAAATTTAAAAAGACCCGATGTAAATTGCGCAAACTGTGCGATTTGGAGTATATTTTTGACAAGCGTTTTGAGTTGAAAGTTCTGCTGAGCTAGCAAAACATAGGATAACGCTCTTGCTTTAAACGTACTTGCTGCTGCTTTTATAGATTTAAGAATCACCTGTAAAAATTTAATTTGACTACACGTACATATTAGTTTGTTGTCCTAAATTTTACTTTCATGTATTTATTGTTAAAATGCTTTATCATTGTTAAATATTATTTAATCAACATAAATATGATGTATTTTTTGTTTTCAACATAAATCTACCAATTATTCTTACATACGAAGCTGAATTATTTACCTTATCATTACTGTACGTCCTCTAGAATTGACCCCTGAAATGGAACGAGAGGAAAAAACCCACTAAGGTGTCTTAAATTTTCTATTTTAGTGTTCTTAGGACATAATAAACAGGTGCCAGTAACTTCAGAATTTCAGTATTGTAAAAACATATAATTGAGCACGTTTCTGTAATAATTGGCTGTCTTGGAATTTTGTTTATAATTGAAATGCTTCCAAGAAAGCTATAACATATTTTAAGCGAATATAACAAAAATCTGATCAGATCGTAGCAAGATACCGACGGTGTAAGTCCATAACCACGTATCTCGTTTGCGGAGTTTGAAAACCTCCGCTCCTGTTTTATTTCTTTATAGGAGAACAAATCGACATCATTCCTTCAAGTTTTCGCAGAATTTACTTCGCACAGAGATGAAAATCACGGCAGTTTTTAAATATTGCCGTTGATTTTTTCATCTAAAACGAAAGTACGATAGGCAGTCTGCAATGTCGCAAACCGAGATACGTGGCTGCGGACTTACACCGTCGATATGTATCTCCTAAAAAATGAATCTTCCATAATTTACAACCCCTCGCGTTCTACTAAAATTGGGGGTATCTTTCTCTTTTCTTAAAATGATTTATTCCCTCAGTAAGTGGATAGAACAGGTTACTAAATCAAGCCTAAAATCATACATCGGCTCCAAACCCAATGCATACTCCCCAGCGTGATTCACATCTTTGAATAATTGCGTCATAACGTTAGTTTTCCCACTTTGGGGAGATTAAATTCGTTATTTCTACGGGAAGGTTATGCGCACAGAGGAGAAAACAGCGAAAAAAATTGGGTAGTTACAACCTTCTGAGGAAGAAAAGTAGTTGCTGTAAAATATATTTATTTCCGAACAAGGACAACGGAAGGAAAAAGACAGAACCACCTTAAGCACAGAAATATAAGTAGAAAAATCAAAATATCCAAGTCCACAGAAAATTGCCTTTCAACTATTTTTTTTAATGTTTTGTACTTATGTGTTATTTCGTTCATTATAGGGCAATTTATAAATCTTACAACTTTTGGAACAGGGATAGTTTCTACCTCATTTTGCATATAAATACCAAATGAGGGGCTTGGAAGACGAGGCACATAAGTGCAGTTTTTGCTCTTTCGAGAAATACGTGTTTTATGTTTCGAAATTACATGGATCTTTATGGCGGAAAGAAAGTTAAAACGGACTTTGTGATGCTTAAAAAACTAAAATTCGGGAGCATATTTTTCACAGAATATGCACTAGAACTAGTTTTACTTGAAATCATTAACATCTCAATTCTTTCAAAAAATGCACTTATACGCCTTGTCATCCAAGCCCCTATTATTTTATTCGCGAGTAGATTGGGTTACAGCAAGGATCAAGGGAAAAGTTTCCGCTTCTTTAATCGTCACTTTCCAGCTTAATTCATACTTAAATATGTACGTCATGATGTGGGTCAACCCATCACTCTCATTTAAACACTCTCCTGAATTAACGCACGTACACGAAGACTTGAACGCGGGAGTAGAAAAGCTAGGTTTACGGTTCCCCGGGAATTTTGCGCAGTATTTCCATGTTTCATATCTTGTTCCACCGACATATTTGTAGCTCCTCCTGTATGATTGGATAAATCGGCGGTATATAACTCCCAAACCACGTATCTCGTATGCGGTGTTTAAAATCTCCACACCTGTTTCAATTTTTTGCAGGAAAATAAATCAACATCATTCTTTGAAGATTTCTCAGAATCAGTTTCACACAGTGAGGGCAATCGTGGAAGTTTTCCAAAATTGCTGTTGACTAGTTCTTCATGTAAAAAAGGAAATATGACAGGAAGTATGCAACGTCGCAAACCGAGCCACGTGGTTTAGGAGTTTCACCATCGACACACACACAGAAAAAAACTTCGCGCGTGGGACCCGAAGTTGAGGTCATATGGATCTCTGAAGTTATCGGATCACGTATCCAAAAACTTGCGGTCCAGCTACCGAAGTTCGGGTCAAACATCTAAAGTACTCCGGTACATACCGAAGTGCCGCGATGTCTGACCCGAACTTCGACAGCTCAACCTCAAGTTTTCGGATGCGTGATCAGAAAACTTCAGAGATCCGTATGACCTCAACTTCTGGTCCCATGCACGAAGTATTTTTCTCCGTGTATCATGTTATTTTACACAGTGCTCTTTGCGGGGCACAACCACGACAAGTGAGACAAATTTATGAACAAAACCATAGATAAAGAAGACATAGGGAGTATGGAGGGATCGTATTGGTTGAAATTCGTAGCTCTTATAGACTAAGGGGGTAAATGATGGACTAACAATAGAGTCCTTCGTGGATTGCCGTTATTTAGTCGAGTATCTACTTCCTTTGTCTATTTCAACCACCTGCTTCCACCATCAGGAGCCCCCATATCCATTTTGTCTTCTTTGTCTACAGCTTTGTCTATCAATTTCAACAATCAGCCCATAGGTGTAATATGAAGATGAATCCCTCTCACTTGTGCTCTATGATAAGAGCTTGTTTATCTTTTATGCTGATGCTCTCCGTTGAATATTCCTTCAGTGCGGGTAGGTCTAAGTCACTCCGGTGCATTTATCACTAATAATAAAGCCAACAAGCCTGCAGATTATTTCAAAACTTATTGATAGATTATATATATTTTACATTTCACAACCAACAAAAAGCTTCGATGCCATTTGAGGTAATGGAGATAAAATATGAACCACGGGAGATCAAGAGGTGTAAGTCCACGGACAGAGGTAAAAAAGTTATATAAAAGTACCTACCCACCAGAAAAAAAGGAGTATAAATTAAAATTGGTGCGTAAGAGGGTAAACGGTCAGTGCGACGCAAATGAGATATTAATGCTGACAAAGGGAAAAAAAATCAGACGAAAAAATGTGTAACGTGTTACTGGCGATATAAAAGCCACAAATAGACATTGACCTTACAATTGGGAGTCAAGAACAGAAGAAAAAAAATGATCGTACATAAATTGCGTGCCAACGTATTTAAGTACAATAAAAAGAAATGTAGATTCACTGGTACAACCATTCTATCAGTGTAGCTCTCTATTTCGGACATAAAGTGATTCGCCATGGCCATTCGGCTAAATTTTAAGTGGTAAAATCAACCAAATGTTTTGATCCACGTCAAAGTTACTGTTTAGATGGTTCGTTTATTCTTCTCCCATGAGAAATTTAAAAAGAAATGAATCGTGAAAAAAATCAGGTGCAAAAAAAGTACCTAATTAGCAGACAAATCGTTAGGGAATTCCTCGATAAAAAATAGGAAGGCATTCAACTTGAGGCGATAAGGAGATGAGCTATCTTCACTGGAGGGGCGGTAAAAAATTGCTGCGTAATTGGACAACAAAAAGAAACAAACCAACGATTATTTACTTTTAAAAAAGGCTCATTACTTTTAAAAAAAATTACAGAAATGATCCGTGAGAATTCAGAGACTTGATAAATGTTGCAGCACCAATTGTAGAGTGGGCGAAAAGACGAAAGTAAGACGAAAGTGAGTTACCGTATGAAAACTTATAACACATTCAAATTCGATATGAGTAAAAAAGAAAAAAAAATTTAAACATACCAGGGAGATCGAGTGCTATTCAGGAGGACAAAAAATTGGTCTTAACAATGCACCTAGTCAAGGAAAAACAAGCAGTGAACTCCAACACAATGTGTTGATAAGGCGCGTCATTAACTCGCACATATCAACCCCTTTAGTTTTCATTTACAGAGATTTCAAAATAGGCAAACAGCATAAAAAGAGAATTCACGATCCAACACTGCGAGGTCAAAGACGCACCTTGACGAGACCGTGTATTGTGAAAGTAGAAAGCTATTCGATCGAATTTAAGTTTTTTGATCTGCCTCAAGCAAAATCTTATCAGATTCTTGAAGAAAAGTGCTACGGAATAATTTAAGCGAAGAAAGGAAAAATTCTGTCGAACTCCTAGAAGATAAAGTCGATTTAAAGGTATTTTGGGGCTAAAATACCCAAATCACCGGTAGTAAAAATCCCGTTATATTATTGAAAAGAAATTGACTCGATATAAATGCAATTGCATTAAATACGTCTTGATTTTGTTATTTTAAACGTCTTTCCATGCAAAGAAGTTCAACCATGTCGTTGCTTTATTCATTCATGAATTGAAAGTAAGCAATCTACATCCCGAAAATCTACTGATTTGCCGTAAAAAATTGCAGAAACTTGATATACCAGGTCGATGCACCCACTCGTTGAATTTACCAACCAATTTTGTGAGTGCAAATGTGTAA